CAGTGAAAAGAGCGTGTGGACAGTACGATTCCGGTTGCTACCGACAATTGTTTTTGCCGCATGTAGGCTGCATTTAAGCTATAGGCAGGCTTGGTGGGCACAGGAAACCCTGAGAGGCGCATTGCAACCCATTCTGCCCATTGGGCCGCTGGCGTAGCTCTAACAGTTTAAACCACGTAAATGCACTTGGAAGCAGTGGCGAGAACCTATTGCCCATTGCTGTTATGTTGAGGGCTTTTTCGGAAGCCCTTGCAACTTGCAACGATTGAAATAAATCGTGAATGAACCTGCTTAGTGGTGATTCACTATGACTGCGGTTTGAGGCTTGGAAGCAATCCAAGATGCTTGATACATGTCACTAGCTGCTTAGCCTTAGGCCAGTTCAGTGGTGTTCAGACTGGGCGGTCATTGGCAGGCTAGACTCGCAACAATTCCATGGGTTTGCAGGTGGTTCTGTTTGCCTTCATGTGACGCCCAAGTGAACCGCGAGTGCTACGCTGCTACAGGTGTGCTTCAAATCTCGGGACGTGCTCCTTGTCGGGCTGCTCGCTCCATAGTCGTAGGCATGTTGCCAAGGTCGATGGCACAAGTTGGATGAAAGGAGGTGTAGTTAAATAGGCGATCATGGATGGCCTGTCACGTTGGAGAGACAATTGGTCAGGACATGTCAGACCTTAATTTATTTTCAACCAGTTTCAAGCAGTTTCCAAATTGGCTCTTGGGATGCCAGTTCTTTCTGTGGCTGTTGGGCTACACTCGGACACTGAAACAACGTAACCATTCGACATGGACATGACGGCACAGGTATGCACAGGCGACAGATCTGGAAAAACACAAGTGAATCGTTGCCCTGGCCACGCGAACATCCCACTCAAGCTGGGGATTCTGGTAATTCCGAATTCCTCGAAGCTATGTGCTGAAGTGCAATGTCTCCCAAGTCCGACTTATTCTCGGGATAGAACTGATGACGTCTAGTAGCAGCCCAAATAGGAAAGGGTCCAGAGAACGAGTGTCACAGATTTGTCAGAGCTTCTTCCAAGAACCCAGCGTTTGCCATGGAATGTCAAGAACGTCAAGAACCCACCTTTTAAAGAGTCTACCCCGTTTCCATGTTTGACACCGGCACCTATGGTTTGTGTTTCGGCTCAAGCATCCTGAAGTCATGTTCAGCAGTGGTGTTCCAACTTCTCAATCTGCGGGTGAGTGAGGGACAGAGGGACAGCCTCCGGTTTCAAGTTCTTTTTTGAGTAAAGAACATGTGTTTGTTCTTGGTCTCACATGATGCGGAGGCCGTCCGGTCCGGTCGTTCTCTCGCTTGGTCCGTCCCGAGGACCGACACGGGCGCCTCGGAGGACATGACAGACTCCGGCTACCCGTCCACGGTGAGGGAGTGGAAGCGGGGCAGCTCCTTGAACGATGCGCCGGTGGTCTTTCAAGGCCAGAAGACGGAGGCTTTGCAGCAAAGGCGCCGGGAAGAGGCACCTCGCGTCGGAGGGGGTTTGAAAAGGGAAGCGCTGTTTGCAAACACCAGGAAGCCTGAACAATGGGAAGAACCCTTCTTAGAGGTCCAAGGTTTGAAATACTTGGCAGAAGGGCAGCTGTTTGGGAAAGTGATGCTTCACCTCGTGCCAGGGCATCCCATGGCACAAGGGAGAGAATTCAACCGTTGGCTGCGGCCCACCGGAAGATTCCCATAAAATTGTGCGCCACTGGTCCTTCCGTAACGGCATGGAACATGCCCCTTTGCCAAAGTGTAGAAAAACACAGATCTTGAGAACTTGAGATGGTCCATGTTCGTTGATCTTGACGTCCAGGAGTTGTACTAGTTAACTTGGCCACTTGGACTTGAGACGCTTCGCTTACTTGGGCCATTGGTCGAAAATTCTGGATTTTGTGTCCTGTGAAGCTCTGAGGCTGGTGACTCCTAGGTCCTAACAGAGTTTCCAAATCAAATACTTGTCCTGTTTGAGGCATGTGCTTTGCCCCTGAAGGTCACAACAATTCAGCAGCAGAGTGAGCAGTCAGCAGTCAAGTTTGGATGTTCATCATCCGGGTTTTTGAGATGCACAGGGTGGATATATTTACTGTAGGTGGATTTGCAACTTAGAGAGATCTCAGAACCTTGCTCACGTTGTTTTCGTTCAGGCCCATTCAGACCGAACCAGGACTTCATGGGACTCTGGGTCAACCTCGGAGTTCACAGATCACCCACCATACTCAGCAGCTGAGGTCGTGTTTGAACCAAACCGTCCGACCATCGTCCTACCTTTGCCAGCACCCACAAGGATGTCCTGAGCCACGGCGCATTCTACTTCGACCGTAGCACCTTTCACGAAAGCCGCACCCGTGCGGTGACCTTCTACACCCATGAGTATTTGTGGCGACTGGGCTCAGGGGGGTCATCGAGGCTGGGAAGCAGGGGTGCCACACACACACACCACGTACTGCTGTAAATTCCTAAATTATTCTAATTGCTTGCTGTAGTGCTCACTTCTGTTTGGTTGGATCCATGCGCTGTGGTTCCCCTGGGTTCGAGAAGAACAAACATTGCAAACGTGGAGATGGATACAAAATTTCAGGATAGACTGGTGACTGGTCGGCTAACAGTCCAACAACAGAAACCTTCTCATAGCCGCACCTTCACATATATATATATATATATATCCAGCATGCCCGACTATGGGCGTTGGTCAAAGAATGTCAAGGTATGGACTCATTTGGTCGAGTAAATACATTGACTTTGTAGGTGGCAGAAATCCAAGGTCCGTTTGGCTCGGGGTCTACAAAAGTCTATTTATCCCGCTGACCCCAGCAACAGTTTCACAAAATACTCATCACGAAAGTTTGGTTCCTGAGTCGGTTTTCCAGCCTTCAGGTTTCCTCCTTTCCAGCCTTCAGGCTTCATGACGGGCAGTGGAAGAAAGTGGAGGTGCCTGATGACATGAACCTGTGTCTGAAAGCATTGGGCCATGCTAACTTGGACCCGGGAGACACCTCTCATCTAGTCACCAAGAGATGATGCACTTTGTTGGGCACACACGGGCCCCGCATCGTGAGTTCTGAAAAGCTGTAAAATGAGATCTGAGATAGGTGACCATCGTATGCACAAGTGCACGGCTGTCTACTATACATAAGAAAACATATATATATATAATATATAGCAGAATGTATGCAATACAGGTTTGTAGGAAGAAAAGTCCAATGCAATCCCCCACGTTTCTGTCAGATTGTCCTGTATTCATATCTGTTGAACCTTTTACTTGTGTCCGTCTCTAAGATGAATGCCGTCCCGATTCTCCTCAGACCAAGTCCATTCAGTGCAGGAGTTTGATGCAAAAGCAGATTCCATGGAAATAATACCACAGCAAGTGACAACAAGAGCCCTTTTCTACTTTGTACATGAGGCTGGACCCTTGCATGTTAGCTTGAGCTTGAAAATGTCGTTGCCTGTGCTCTCTTGCTTTGGGGGTGAATGAAAGGTAGTAGCAAGCAGCGGGTTGGGATGGCCGAAGAAACAAAAGGGAACATCGCATTTGCAAGAAGAAAGGGTGGTGCCCTGCAAAGCCTTGCATAATCAAAGGTCAAGGTTTGGGCAAGCACGTTCCGTGGATATGGCAGTGAGTCAAGAAGCTGCAGCTTCCCAAACCCGCCATGGCAAAAGAAAAATGGCTACTGTAAATACAACCTGGAAGCCTGGGCATAGTTGTACCCCTTGCGGCGCCATCTCACTACCATACCCACATTCACCTGAACTTATATGTTGCTAAATAATGCTTACTCTTAGCCATATTTCGCACTGGTGTCGTTTTACACGCCCCCCCCCCCACCTGGTCTCACCATGTACATCGAAGCGACCTTTTACACCCCCCGGGTGCGGTTCCGAGGACCGTTTCGACCTTCGGGGATTGCTTTTTGTTTCGACTCCGAAGTGATTGGCCGCTTCGGCCGAAGGAAGGAGGGGGATCGGTGAAGGATCGATGGACAAGCTGGTAGCATGGAGTTGGACTGGCACCTTTTGCAGTAAATGCTTGGAGGCTGCAATAGAGAAGTGAGGACGAGAATGGACCAAGAACCTGACTGCTCGTTGAACGCTCGACTCCTTTCAGGCCCCTTTCATGCTCCCATTCCCTAGGCACTAGACTAACTAATACAAGCTCCTCGATGGGGAAGAAGTATGACAGCTGACCAGTCGTGGGAGAGAAACGGAGGGCCAACTGATGACCTCCTTGAAGGCACAACTTCATATGCGAAGAAGGCCCAAGACCAGCAAGCTTACGAGGGGGTAAATGGAAGCATTCATTGCAGATTAATTTAGTTTAATTAAGTTTAATTCACCCAATACAATGTTACTAACAGCTTTTTGCTCCTAGAAGCGTAAGGCCAGGAGCCCCTAGTAGCGTCCTTGTTCCTGAGAACGTGTTTGTCCAACTGAAGGGTCCAAAACTTCCAGAAAAACGCGTGCTATGGTCTTTCAATTCGCTGGTCTCGAGTCTTCACCACTCACACATTTGAGGTATGTCAAGGATGAACTGCTAGCAACTCAAGGGCCGCCTGGGCTGCAGTGATGGGTGCTAAGAGGGTGACTGACTTTGATCGGCTGCACACTTTGGAGCACCCATACTCGCAAGGTTCATCCCGTTGGTGAGTTATATTTTCAAGTCATACTGCAACAGGATGAACAGTACTTCAAGGTTCATCATATGTTGTACATTTTTGTACCTTGGAACAAGCGATTTGAGCATCCACAAAGCCATGCATCATTACGATCTACTGTAGCTACGTTGGAGCGTCCAGGTGGCAGATGGATCATTGCATTCCTGTCCGCCATTGCCACGCAAGGTTTTGCGCGGCTGAGTCTCAGATATGCCCCGAAGAAAAGCCTTTCGTGAATCGTGTATATCGCCACCAGTCAGACCACGGAAAGCTGCAGTCTTTGCAGCCCCCTTGAATAAGCAGCGTCGTTGTCCCAACAGAGTTGGGGGAAAACGGCCACCCAACAGCGAAGTGAGGTCCTTGCTGTCGATCAACATGGATCGCTTCTTCGCCAATGACCTGAAGGACTTGGAGGTCTTATTTGCACCCTCAGCTTCGGAGCCTTGTCGTTCGAAGAGGACATGGAAGTTTCAACGGTGTTGTTGCTTTTTCCCCAAGCACCTGAGCATGCAGGCAAACATTGATTATGCTTTCTGTGAAGTTTCATGTGAAATCATGTGAAATCTGTGTTTAAGCATGTTTAGATACTACACGCTGGGCAGGTTCCTAGGCAAAGCAATTTGTCTTTACAAGGCCATGTCGGTTGCCTCAGGAGTCGTTGGAAGACTATGCCGGGACAAAGAACTTCCTGGTGCTCAGTATTTTAGAAGATGTGAACTCTTGGCTTTGCAAAGAATATCATGGTGGATATATCCTCTATAAAATCACAGGGGTCAGGGTAAAATCACTGTCAAGACCCCCCCGCCTATATAATATATCCACAGAGATCAAAGAATCCCCTTCGTGGTTTTCGTTCATCCTTTTCGCATCCCTCAGGGAGTGTCGGATCGGGCCCTTTTTGTTGGATGGTCTTTTTGCTGGTGTTTGGTCCAGGTTGGCGAATGGAGAACAATGAATAGCATAACTATGCATAACTACCACATACACTTCGCCATGCATATACCATCATATACAATTGCTTAGGCTTAGATGTAAGGTTTAAGGGACCATGTTATGATAAATACTTCATTCATTGCAAATTTGGTTCATGATTTTTTGCCGATCCAGCATGTGCAAATCCTGGCTCTCAGAAAGATCGGACAGACATGAGATAAATTGCACACGGTATGACGTATGATATGCGTATTATGAGTTGTTTTTGTATAGGTATATGCCGGTATATGCATACATATTCATACATATATATATATATACAGTGACAGTATATGTATAAGTACAGGTACTCCGAGAGAAAAGAACAGGCCCTCCTGATAACAGCAAGGTTTTGGAACCTTGAGGGGATCGATGCCACAAAGCCCTCCAAGTTCAACCTGCTTTGGCCTGGACAGGGCTTGTTTCATTATGTTACTGGTTTTGGTTTAGGCGTCGGCTCAGTTCCTTCTAATAGTAAGGGATGCGAACCGCGCGTAAGAGACCCACACGCGGACCCCTAGGAAGACTAAGTTGGTCTTCTGGGAGTTCAAGGCTTGTCGTCGATTCGTTGGTACTATAGGCTTACGTGTCCATGGATGCGACTTGTTGCTGATCAGGAGGAAGTCTCATGTTGCAATGCAGGCTTTGGTCTTTGGTTGGTTTTTGTTCTTTCGACGTCAGGCTGATTCCGTCAGATTTGTTTCATGGAAGGACATGCGACATAAATATGCCTAGTAACCGGGATGAACCGAAGGTGTTCGAAAACTGACCCTCGTGCGCGCAGCCGGTCAAAATCGGCGGTCCGGTCTCCCAAACGGTGTTTCTTAGGAAACTGGAATGTTCTTAATTAAGTGGTGCGGAATTTTGCAAGAGCACCTGACCACCTCTACAGCGCCTATGGCAATTCTCCAGCAGGAGCATAGAAGGATCAGAAAGCGCGATGACATGTATAATCTGCTTGCGTAGGCACCATTGACATGGCAACTGCCACAGCACCAACACAAAGAGCCGGTCAACCACCGGAAGCGCCGGCGTCGTAGGAGGGCCGCTGGCTGAATCGTGGCATCGACACGTCGTTGGGCATGGAGAGCGTCTCCATCTCCGCCGTGGAGCCGGATGTCTCGGACGAGCTTTGGGTCACCGTCTTCGGGTACACCAGGCGCGGTCGGGATTGATGGGCAGGTGGGCAGGTGGGCGGCTTGGAAAAAGGATGAGAGAGGATTGGTAGAAGGTTTGACCACACACTGTACTTTTTTAGAAATGGAATGAAATGGATGAAATGGATGAAAATACCCTAGAAAGCGAGCCTGAATGTTTGGCCTTGAACATCCGTCAAATGTGGAGGTTGGAAGGCTTTGAGAGGGTCAATAAGTTCTGCTTCAAGAAGACCTACCCAGAGCTGACCCTGTTTAGCTTAAGGTAAAACAATGTTCACCCAAAAAGGTTGCATCACGCCAAGATCTTCAGCAGATGCATTCATAGAGGAATCTGACGAGAGTGGTTGACGCTGTGGGTTGTCTCTGGTTTTGCGAGTGTTTTCTTAGAAGATATATATCTTGACATAATAAGCATTTGGGACATGACATGAAGAAACAGCGGGAGTCACTAGCTAGCGCACCATTAACGGGAAATGCCTGCGTACTCTCTCTCTCTCTCACTCCCCTGCTCTATTTTTGCAACTGGAGCTCCTTGGTCATATACTTTGGCGGGCGCTCGAAGGAAAGCTGTAGGCTGTAGACTCCTGCCCCTTGCCTTTTGCAGGTAGTATATATACTCAGTATATCAACATATTCCTTTATAATATATATAATGGACTCATCCAAATCACCGTCTTTGTTGACTTGTCCTTCTTCGTAACCTTTCTCTTTGTGTCACCCTGTCTACCACCGGAATCAGGTCTGAACAGAAGCATCTTCCTCCCCTCGTGCCGGGCTGACAGGGAATTGGACGGTCACAGGTTTTGCAGTCCGGTGACCGATACATGATCGTCCAAGCGTCTGTCGCGAAGCGTTCCGACCACGGCTGATTCGTCACACGGCCCTGTACACTGCTTGGGTACCCAGCTTTGCGTCTAACGCTCATTCCACCAAGCTAGAACGGCCATGGCTGTTGGGTCGCAGTGTACCGATATGTACCGATGTTGGGCGAATCCCCGGCGGCCGCGACTCTGAAGGCCATCCACCTTGTTCCTGATGACTGCAGATGAGCTTTGCAACGGACTCTTGGACCGGGTCGACTGGAGACAGTTGCTGGCTGTTGGAAGTATACGAGGTTTCACTTGGTATAATATGGTAAAGGCATGGTAGGCCTTCCGAAGAGGGGAACATGTTGAGAGTGAAACCACTCTCTAGGTTCTGGATTCTGGATCGAGACAGATCTACTCGTACCTGCTGTTACCTGCTTAAACCAAAATTTAGACAAACATGTGTTGTTTGTGTGTGTGTGTTGTTTAAAATATGTTTCTTGTTTGAGCAACACAATGAAGTTCACAAACAACGATCGGCCGTGCCATCACTTGAAGAGCTGCAGCACTCTTTATGCCTATATTGTATGCAGTAACAACTGCCTATGAGTGGTGAGGCGTTGGCTTGTTTAGCTAATTTGCTCGTTGCTTGTGACGCTAATTTGCTCGTCTATTTCTTCGGTTCAAGGGTACTTCAAGTGTTGTTCAATTGCTTGAACAAGACACACAATACAATGGTTTCACTAGCGGTGCGCCGCATAGGCCAAGAACATGGTTTGTGTTTTTCGAGGACACTGTCCCCTCCCCCATTAACCCCGGCCCCCCTGTTGAAACCTATGTTCAGGCACCCATGCTGATGGTGATGAAGATCTTGAGTGGTTTTGAACGTTAGCATGCCCCAAACCACCCACCCCGTCCGTCATGATGGTGATGCTGGTTTTCATCGCAAGTGATTGGCAAAAAAGTGGTGATCATTGTCGTCGCAAGTGATTTGCAACTGTCGTCCCAAGTGAATGGTGGACCCCTATGAATCCCTGGTCGAAACAACATACTGCGTGCTTAAGCTACAAGCCGAATAGATGTGAAGTGCCATTGGTTGTGGATGCAGTTTGTGCCCAGGAAAGTTGCCATCGATGACACCGTTGAAGTCATTGCCCGCGTTCTTCAACGCCGATGATATTGAAGTGCAGCAATTTTTTGCCACTTCTTTGGATGGTACCAAGGTGCCATACTTTCAGCTCAGCAAGAAGGGCATGGCTTATGACGGGTCAAACCCTGCACTGTTCCTTGGCACTTGGCTCAGGTCTTGGTGCTAGCTATCATGGTTTGAAGCTGGGAAGTGCTGCTAATGCTGCCAACTTTGTGTGTTTGATTGTAACTTTGTAGTGCAATACTGCACACAACAGTTTGCTTGATGTTGCCCAAAGATTGAACGGCAAACCATTTCGGACGAGGCTCATTGGATTATACCTGTAACTTCCTCAGAGTGTGTGTGTGTGTGTGCCCCTTGTAATCACAGGGATTCCGTTGAATTGTTCTTTGTCTTTTCTTTTTCAGCAGGGGGACAACC